CAAATAAATAAATAAAATCTTAAAAAAAAAAAAAAGATTTATTTATTTATTTGAGAGCGTGTGTGCACACACAAGTTGGGGGAGGGAAAGAGGGAGAGATTCTCAAGCAGAGTCCCTGCTGAGTGCAGACCCCCACACTGAGCTCAGCCTCACCACCCATGAGATCATGAGCTGAGCTAAAATCACCAGTCGGCTGCTTAACCCACTGAGCCACCCAGGTGCCCCTCTGGGTGGAATTATTTTTAGGTCATTCTGTATTTTTTTTCTATTTTTTTCCTTTTTAACTTTTCCAAACTCTACTGTATCTTTCAAAATCTCATAAAAATATAATTTTAATGAAGCAAATTATTTTTAAATATGACTTTTTAACTGTAAGAGACATAATTTCATTTTAGTATATGTATTGAATCTTCATACTGATGGCTAAGAGTTAAAATTAACATTTGGTTTAGACATATATTAAAAGTTCTATTTAGTTGTATCCATAACTTATTTTACTGTGTTAAATTGATAGCCTTTATGAAATGATATACATGGCTTGCTACCTTCCCTTAAATAGTAAAGTGAGTATAGGTCAGCACATGTGATACCTCTCACATTCAGTCAGGATAATTTATATTCAGTGTCTCACACTAAAACCATTCAGCTCAAACTGAGCTCTCACACAAACTACAGTATTTTCTTTCAAGAAATTAGCTTTTTCCATGGAATAAACCCTTTCATAATATTTGATTCCATCTAGTTGGTTTTAAATCTCTTTGTAATACGACCTCTTCCAGTGTACTAACAAAAATAAGACACATGCACAGAAATGTGGGTTTTCTTTCACTATTTTGATGTCCCTACTGTGGTTCCAGCTGGCTCTTCCCTGACTTCCTATGTTGTCCCTTTCAGGTCATCACCCTGTGGAGCCTTGCCACAAGCCTGCCCTCACTCCTAGTAATTCATTCTCCAAGGTAAGGAAAAGGCCACCTTCTTCGTGTCATGCTTCCTTAGCTGAATAACCAGCTTGTTTGTCTTGAACCAAACTGATTTCACATTTGAATATTTGCCTTTTTTAGGTACATGTAGTGATAGTAGGAATCTATTTTAGTGAACTCATAGCCTTGCTAAGTAAAGCACACAGTGAACAGCCCCCACACAAGCAACCCTCCATCATTTAGCACATATTTAGCTCTTATATAACTAATTACTTGTATAGATAGCTTTAGTGCGATCTTTTTATTAATGTGCACAGTTCTTTTGTACCCAGAAGAGAACATACATCATTAAGAGTAGAATTGGTCCTTTGGGTTAGTGTTGAGCAGCAGTGACTCTCAAATGACAGTTCTGTCCTTCCAGTACAGATGGTACTGACAAAAGATAGAGGCTTATTTGCTTTTTAAAAGATACGGAAAATGCTTCACCACATAATCAAATGTAAGAACCTCAGTCATTTAAGATTAGCACAGAAAAATCTGGAGGTGATTTAACGAAACTACTTTAATACATAACCAAATTCCACTTTGAGCTTTCTCTTTAAGGCCTTATGTATTCCCATTCGTTTGGTTAGCATTTCTTTTTATGATTTTCTTCTGGCATGTAATGTACATTCTAAAATGATCCCAGCTGGATCTGCATTTTGTGGTATTGTTTAATCCCACACACATCCCGTACAGTCTATTCAGAACCCCACTATTTGAAAGTCTTTCCATGTAAGATCCAGAGCTGAGGCATTGGTCTCCTAGGAATCTGAAAACCCTATCATCTCAACAAGATTTCTGGATAAGAGCTGGATTTAACATAGAAGGAAAATTTGGTGACCGGAAGGTCAAAATTCTATGTCTTTCAGCTCACTGGTCCAGCAAATCCTGAAAAGATATTGCAGTAGAAGAATTATTAGGCAGAAATGATTGGGACACGTAAATAATTGAGGTACAACAACACCCACTACTCCCTGTTTATTCATAAAGTCTACAATTACACACAGCTGGAACACCGGAATTTTCATGTATATCTAGTGTTAGTCATGCTGTATGGTGTTCATTTTCTTTTTAAATATCAGGATGTTGTTGAAAGGGAGAAGGGGAGGATTTCTGTTTAAATTAATATGAAACTCTTAGAAACTAGGATCTCTGTTACTCATGATTTCAAACATTTTTTTGTTGGAGTTCAACTCTTTCAGGAAGTCTCTCAAACAATATTCTGTCCTTGATGCTAACGTCTGTACTATGAATTTCACGTAAAGATTGGAGTTTTACAATCCAGTAAAACTTGACATTATGTAACCACTAGTTATGAAGAAATAATTCTGTCACATCTACCATTTTTACTTTTTGTCTTGATAAAAAGAATAAGATCTTCAGAGCAAACCACCTTTTATTTGTATATAATTATTTTAATTTATTCTAATCATTTAATTTTGCATTTTTGCTCAAATCAGTTTTCTTTCAATAGGCCATGCACCATGAAGTGTTCACAATTTACCATTGAATTAGAAAGTTACATTCTATTCAATAATTAATTTATAGTTATGCACCCATTGTTACTTTTCTTAAATTGAGGTGAGATTTAGCCTAGATTTGAAAATCTTTATACCCAGCAGTTGACTAGAATGATAAACTAAAGTGTGTGTCCAAGTCACAGCTTCACAAATACTTTTAAAAGATGATTTTTTTCCCTTTCCCTCAACTTCTGAGTTTAATGATCCTATAAAACTTTCCTAAAAAGTTTTATGAAAGATAAGTCCCATAAGATATGCCTCAAAAAAGAAATTTCTGCAGTCAAACAGATTTAAGAAATACTACATAATAGAGTTTTCTTTGGCAACTCAAAATTCATAATAGTAAACATTGTGAGAATTCTTGGAATAAAAATAATGATTTGATGTTATGTAATCTGTTTCCAGAGATTTTCAATGATGGAAAGTCCCATCCTCTTTGTACATTCCATTGTACTGATGTTTCCTAGAAACACTGATCTATTATGGGCAGATATAAAATGGATTTTGTACTAAGAAAGAGGGAGAGAAGGACATGGTAGGGAAATCTACAGTCGCTCCCTAATCTTGGAAGTTAGTAATATAGTAAACTAATGATTTGCTCTGGTTTCATACTTCAGGTTAATGGGGAAGAAATAATTGAAGTTTTGTACCCTGAAGGAAAATGTTCTACTTATCAGATGAAGGGATCAGCAAACTTGATTCTCTCCAAAGGTAGTTTTCCAAATCAATCATCCAATTACTCTAAATGCCCTAATAATTCAGGTAACAAAGAAATATTAGGTATTGGGTTTACATGTTTCTATAGTGTAAAATGGAAGGATTGTTGTTCAAAGAAATAAAAGAACAATGTAAAATTTATTGTTAGCTGCATTACTGTATAAATGTACTGTATTCATTCTCATCTCTAATGTTAAGAATATTTTTAAATGATAGAAAAGATGGCTGGTTTTGTTTTTTTTTTAAGATTTTATTTATTTATTTGACAGAGACACAGCGAGAGAGGGAACACAAGCAGGGGGAGTGGGAGAGGGAGAAGCAGGCCTCCCGCCGAGCACAGCAGGGAGCCGATGTGGGGCTCAATCCCAGGACCCCAGGATCAATGACCTGAGCCAAAGGCAGATGCTTAACGACTGAGCCACCCAGGCGCCCCAAGATGGCTGTTTTTGTTTGATAGTGTTGCTTATATTCTTTGAAGCAGCAATTCTAATAAGTTAGAAAATATTTCTTGAGGATGTTTGGGCTGCCCTATTATATCCTTAATCTTTGTAAATTTTATTTCATTTTTTTTTAAGAGAGCGTGTGTGCACAAGAGCACACATGGTGGGGGCGGTGTTGGGCAGAGGGAGAGAGAGAGAATCTTAAGCAGGCTCCACACCCAATGCACCGTGCGATGTGGGGGCTCGCTCGCATGACCCTGATATCCTGACGTGAGCCAAAAACCAAGAATTGGACCCTTAACCAACTAAGCCAACCAGGCACCCCAGTATACCCTTAATTTTTGTAACATAACTTCTTTAGTTGAATTTCTTTCATGAATTAATAATTTGGGATTAATTTAGGAAAATAATCATTAAGTTATTGATTCACAGACATAGATTTTGGTTTATTTAAGTTGTATTTGTATGGTCTTTTGTCATGGCAGCCAGAGTCATGTTGGGACTAGAAATGTCTAGGTTCCACAAGTATAAATTGCTTTTCCAGTCCTGGCTGCTTTTCAAAGGAGATGCTTAAAATTTGAAAGACCTGCTATCTTTGATTTGACACGGTGTCTCTTTCTTATATCAATATTTTTAAAGTAAAATCTCACGTAAATTCCTGTTTTTCAAGAATCTCATGTACAAGAAGATGATATCTATGATGATCCTCAAGAAGCTGAAGTTATTCAGTCTCTGCTGGATGTTGTGGATGAGGAAGCCCAGAATCTTTTAAACCAAAATAATGCAGCAGGAGATGCCTGTATTTCAGGTAGATGAACCAGAGTGAATAAGCCGGTATACTAAAGAGTACAAGAAGGCCTCTGGGGAGCATTTTAACTCCTTTTGGCCCATTTATTTCTCTCCCAGGTTCATTGAAAACCAATGGGCAGTTATCTGAAGGGAGAGCAGAAGATACAGACTGTGATGGTTCACCATTACCTGAAGATTTTACAGAGGTAAGGATAATACCTAGATAAACACTCTAGGATGCTGTATATTGTTAGAATTATGTATCTCCTTAAGCTTGCTTTCTCTGCTAAGGCTTTAACCTCTGCCTCCCCTGCCTCCACCATTTCTGATTTCCCAGCACTGCTCACCCCCTGCCCTGACCCTGGCATTCACAGGTTTATATGTATTTCTCTGGTTCCCATAGGCATTTGCGTTTGTAACCTGTCCTAGTGTGCTTGGACTGCCATTGCAAAATACCACCAACTAGGTGGCTTAAAATACAGAAATTCATTTTCTCACAATTCTGGAGGCTGAAAGTCCAAGATCACTATGCCAGCAGGGTTGGTTTCTGATGAAACCGCTCTCCTTGGCTTGCAGATGGCCACCTTTTCACTGTGTCCTCACATGGCCATTCCTCTGTGTTCATGCACTCCTGGTGTCTCTTCCTTTTCTTATAAGGACACCAGTCCTGTTGGATTAGGGTCCCATCCTTATGACCTCATTTAGCTTTAATTACCTCGATAAAGATCCTAGTCTCCAAACATTATCACATTGGGGGTTAGGGCTTCAACCTGTGAATTGGGGGATCACAATTCAGTCCATAACATAGTCTTTGCTTTAACCAGTTATAAAATATAATAAAGTAAAATTTCATTCACAATAGTTAAAAACAAATAAAAGCTATAGGCATAAATTCAACCCAAAATGTGTAAGACCTATATTATGAAAACTTTAAAGCTCTACAAAGAAGCAAAAGAAATATTAAATATTTCTATTCTTTGATAGAAAAACCTAAAATTTAAATTCTCCCTAGATTTACCCATAAGTTAAATATGGTCCCATAAAATATTTCAACTTTTTTTTTTTTTAAATGAGAAGCAGAGTGGTTTGCCAAAATGATTTCAAATTTCACTTGGAAGAAATTAGGATGTAAAACTGTCCAGTACAAATCTAAAAATTAAGGTTCAGCGGTGCCTGGGTGGCTCAAACAGTTAAGTATCAGCCTTTGGCTCAGGTCATAATCCTGGGGTCCTGGGATTGAGCCTCATATCGGGCTCCCTGCTCAGTGGGGAATCTGCTTCTCTCTCTCCCTCTCCTCCTCCCCACCACCCCCACTCATGCTCTCTCTCAAATAAAAGGTCTTTAATTAATTAATTAACTAATTAATTAAAGTTCATATCATATAAGTTGTTCTACCACCAAAGTACAGATAGATCCCACAAACTTGCACCTTGAGAATTCAAGATGTTTAAGACCAAACATTTTGGGGCAGTCCATCCTTACAATTAATAAATTGACACTTGAATATATGGGACTTCTGCTTCAGAAGAGATGTTAACTAAGAGTAAACAAAACAAAGAAAGTAAAAAAACAATTCAGGAAAGGAGGAAACAAAGTACTGAGATAAAAACATGAAGTTTCATTTGTATCAAACTCTAAATGTGTTAAAATCACTATGGAAATTATATTCATAAGCAGACAAATTCAAAAAAGAGAAATATGACTAATCTCCATAGCTAAAATGAAGATTAAGCCAATATTCTGGAAAAGTTTTCTGTTTCATCCTGTATTTCTAGAATATTGCCTATATTTGAGTAATTTTAAGTTTCTTACAACTTCCTAAAATACTCAGTTTTTCGTAGGTGCATCTCTGGAATCACTATAAATGAATTGTAGATTATTTACTGAATTGGTTCTTAACATTGTATTCTACAACCCTGGAAGTTTTGTGGATTTTTTTTTAACTTTTATTATTGAAATATAGTTGAAATACAATGTTATATTAGTTTCAATTATACAACATAGTGATTAATTTTATAACTGAAAGTTTGTACCTCTTAATCCCCTTTACCTATTTTGCCCATACTCCCCCTCCACCCCATCCCCTCTGGCAACCACCAGTTTATTCTCTGTATTTATGAGTCTGTTTCTGTTGTTTGTTCATTTATTTTTTAGATTCCACATCTCAGTGAAGTCATATGGTATTTGTCTTTGTCTTATTTCATTTAGCATGATATTCTGTTGGTCTATCCATGTTGTCACAGATGGCAAGAACTCATTCTTTTTTATGACTGAGTAATATTCCATTGTGTATATATACTCCATCTTTTTTATTCATCTGTTGATGGACCCTTGGGTTGCTTCCATATCTTGGCTATTTTTTTTTTTTTTTAAAGATTTTATTTATTTG